GTCTGCTGGCGCCGCCGGCCCCGCCTCGTTTGTCGCGCTGATAGTGCGCGCGGAGCAGAACGAGGCGGCGGACAAGGGCGCCGTGCGAGCGGCCGCGCCCCTCGCCGCCGCCGCCGCCGTCTCTGACGACGTCGAGGAGAGGGACGGAGGCGAGGCCTCCCCGCCGCCCCTCCCGGTCGGCGTCGAGGCGCCCGCGTGGCTGGTGCAGATGCTCGTGGCGCTGACGGCGCGCGCCACCACGCCGCCGATCGCGAGCTAGGCTCGGCTGGGGCGGCAATGGCGCCAGGCACCGCCACCGACTGAGAGAGCCAGTCAAGCGGCACCCCGCGGCTTGTGCAGAAGCTAGTCTAGCGTGTGTATGTGTGGAACCGCCCCTGGCGCAGGCCGAGGCGGGGAGTGGAGGCGGTTGCTCCTTGTTGGCCAGTAGGGGGCATGTGTCGAGTTGGGCTCGGAATGGCGGGTGTTTTCGGTCGCGAATCGTAGTGAGCAGAGCGCGATCTCCCATACGCCATAGCCAAAGGGGCCGAAAAAAATCCACTCTCGGCGGATCGGAGATAACAACACGGTGCTCCATACACGTAGAAGAGCAGAGTGGTGAAGCATGGCTAGCCGCATCCACATCCACCTTCTTAGTGCTCAAGAACAAGTGCCGACCTAAGTGCCGCCTCAAGGCTCAAGAGCAATGTCCTCATCTTCGACTACGCCTAGCGTGAGCGCTCCTCCCCGTCCCCTCACCGCTTGCGCTTTGGGCCAGCCTTGCCCCTCCAGCGCAGGCTCTCCGCGTTCATCTCATCCACCGCCGCGGCGCCCTCGTCGCGCATCCGCCGCGCTGCCTGGACGGCGCGCGCCAGGTCGGCGTCTGCAATCTGCCGGATCGCGGCGCCTCGCTTGCGGTCGAGGTGGTCGTACCAGCACCCGCCGAACGCCGCGTCGAGCGCGACCCGCTGAAAGCAATGGTCGAGGCAGATCGGCCAGCGCCGCCCCTTTGCGAGCTTGGGCAGCTCCTCCTTTGTCAGCCTGGTCCATTCGGCCTGAAGGGCCGAACGCCCCGGACCGTCCTCGCATCGGGATCGCTTGCGGCAGGCGAGGGCCGGCTCAGCGGCGGCGGAGGGAGGCGGAGGCACGTCGGCGCGCGAGAGCCGGATGGCGGGCCGCTTCGCCGCCACCGGCCACCGCAGCACCCACCCGTCGTCGCGGCGATCGGGCCAGAGGTAGGAGCCGTCGTGGTCCTCGCCGGTCTCGGGCCAGCCGTACTGTGAGTAGTGCGTTGGCAGCTTCGCCATCAGCGCACTGCGGTGGCACGAGTGGAGCGCCTCCTCGCCGAGCCACGGCGGCATCGGAGGAGGCGAGGCAGGTTCGTCGAGCCCAAGAGAAGCATCCCCTGCCCAAGAGAAGCATCCCCTGGAGCGAGGAGGTCGTTGCGGAAGCCCCTACGAGCCCACTCTCGGAGCATCGCGTTGACGTAGCAGACGAGCGCCGGCTCAAACCCCTTCCACATGGAGCAATACCCCGCTCTGACTAGCTTTGGGTACTGCTCCGGCGCCCGCAGCCACTTGAGTATCGCCCAGGCCTCGGTGCGCTGGCCGCCGAGGCGCTTGTCGTCGAGGATCCGAGCGATCTCCTCAAAGTCTGTGCAGGGGAGAAAGGTGATCATGCCCTGCCGACCGGACACGAGGAGGTACACGGTGAGGAGTTCGTAGGTGATGATGCACGGTCCGGAATGGTGAGCGAAGTGTCGAGAAGTGTCAATCGAAGAAAACTGAAAAAACAAAATTCAGGTGGCGATGCAGCTGGCGAGTTCCGAGTAGAGACCACGCCTGCTATTCACAGCACAAGCCCTCGCCGGGGGCTCGAGCATGCGCAGCGAAAAGCACTGTGAAAAAGTGAGGCGTGGTCTCTACTCAGCTGTCGGCTCTACTCGTGTCTCTCCGTAGGACCGAGTGACTTCGAGAAGTCACTCTTCAAAGCGTTCACACGAGGCATCGCGACCGTTTCTTGCGCAGATCTTTGATCAAAATCAAGGCTAACCAGCCTAGAGATGACCCCTAGACACTCACCTACCTTGCCGACAGCCCACTGCGTCCGTCTGAAGCACCTCAAGTACGCCGGTGAGACGCCCGAAACGGGTTGACTTCTAAAAGTCACTCCGCATGTGGGCCGCCCTCGCGGTCGTCTGACGCGCCCTCCGGCCGCCGCACACTCGCCACTCACCCCGTCTCACCTCTAGATGATGCGGCGGCGCGCACGGGGCACTGCGGCTGCCGGCGCCGCGGCGGCCGGCGCCGCCGCTGCCGGCGCAGGCGCAGGCTCAGGTCGCCGGTACGGCGATGGACGATCGCCGCGTCGCGGCGGGGGGGCGCTGCTGTGCCCGATGCGACGGCTCCTCTTCGAGCAGGTGCTTGGCAAAGCCGGTGAGGGTCGCCAGCTTTTGTCCCGACCGGGCTGCAGATCGCGTAGCCAACCTGGCTCGGGTCCGGGAAGCACTGTGTGCAGTGGTAGGACCGCATGTACCCGCACTGATGCTTCTTGCTTGAACACGAGCACAATAAACACGAGCACAGACGCCGTGTCTCCTAGGGCTGTCCGCCTCAAACGTCGCACGGCGCCTCGAATTCGCGCAGACCAATGTAGTCGATGCCGGAGCGTGCGCATTGGTATTGAGAGTCTGAGGTAGGCGGCGGCGCGCAGTAAGCGCAGTAACGCATGCATTCGATTTGGATACCGGCGCTTGCGTGGGAGCGCAGACAGCGTCGGCCGCGGTGTGCCAGCGAATGTGGTGGTCCTCTTGTCCACTGCGTCCGAGCCGAACCAGCTGTCCACACGAGAAGCGGCGGCGCGTGGAAGAGCCACGACGAGGTCGACCGTCTCGACCAGTCAGCCTCCGGCACAGCATTGGGTGCCTGCATGTCGCCGGGATTGCGTCGCTTGTGTCATCGCGTAGCGGTGCGGAGGCAGCGCCGTATATCGCCTCTTGCCCGCGGGGACGAGCGCTCCAGCAATCGTCTCGAGGAAGGAGAATTTAAACAATACAACTCTCTCTCACAGCACACAGGCTCGACACAGGTGCGAACTGGCGCGTGCTAGTACTATCACCGGCACACCACTGAGGAAGGAGAAACCAATTTTTAACTCCGCCAAGCTGCTCTAGGAGCCTCTCCCGTCGCGGCCCGACTGGGGCCGAGTCCGCGGGGGCTCGCACGGTGCACGGGCCGGCCGCTAGAGCACGTACTGTGCGCGCGGGGGCGAGTGACTTCGAGAAGTCACTCACTAAGTGACTTCTTGAAGTCACTCCTACAGACAGAGCGGAGTGGACGGACGGAAAAACACCCCCCTTTTATGCCTGACCCTGGCCATGGCCTCTCTGGGGGTGAGCTGGGCCGGCCGCCTCCGGGTCCGCCACTCGCACGGTGGGCTCGCGTCCGGGAGAGCATCCGAGACCCGCGGTTGTCCGCTCGCTGGGCGCGACCTACATGGAAATCCACTGCACACAGATCTGTGCTTTTGGCGCCTATTGCTCGCTCTCTGTGCAATCGCAACGCCAGAGGCCGTGCTTGGAGAGTGTGTCGCAGTGCTGCTACGTCAGTGGATTGAGCCGCGACGTAGGCTCCATCGGTGAGCTGCGGCGGCGCACCGGCCGCTCCATGCATGCTCTCCGGCGAGCCGTCGCAAACGCGTTTCCGTCCGCCCGTTTCATCGAGTTTGCCCGAGTGGTAAAATGCAATCGAATCTGCCCGAGTGGTCAAGTAAAACTTTGCCTTTCGTAAAAGTTGCCCGAGTGGTCGAGGGGTCAAGTAAAACTTTGCCTTTCGTAAAAGTTTCCCGAGTGGTCTGGGGGGAAAAAACGAAAATCGAGACGGACTTCTTGAACGGCCGGGCAACATGTCTTCCTTACTATTATTAATTGATGCTTTTTGCACGGGTGAGCCCCCCCCCCCCCCCTCCCCCGCGCCCACTCCCTGCCCTCTCCCGCCACGCACTCCGTCAGAGCCCCCTCCCCTCCTGCACAACAGGAATTTTGACAATTAACAGGATGGATTCAAAGAATGGACAACTAATCAGATGGAAGCAGGAAGCTTCCATCCCGGCGGTGGTTCGAATCCACGCGAGCCGAGGGGTGATGGGTCCGAGACTGCTGGGGTTCTGAGGCTCACCCATTGAGGAAGTGAGGTACTGCTCCGCCCACCCGGATCCTGCTGAACAAGCTCCTCTTGTAGCTCGATCGGTCACACCGCCATCGCCGTCGGGGAGAGGGGGGACGACACTGCTTCGGCAGCGTGCACCTCGATCCTGTACCGTGTTTGTTATGACCCCCCCCAATGAACATACCAGTGAGGGAGGGCGAGACGATCGAGGGGTCCCGTACCACGCGGAATCGACCCTATCCAGTGCTCAAGTGCTCAAGATAGACACTCGCCAGGGTTCGAGGAGTTGAGATCGAAACAAAGAAAGAATTTACAACGAAGCTCCCTCGCACAACAGGGTGCGCTTCTGAGCTCCCCGGCCCTGGATGTGAGGTTAATGACCGCACTCCAAGTGCTCCAAGAAGCACCCGCGCGCGTGAGGTTCGTTCTATAAATAAATAAATAGAGCAGTCATCTCCAGGGAGAGATGGGCGACGCACACGAACACAGAGGGTCAGTGCGCACCCCGCCCCGCTCGCAGGGCGTGCAGCACACAGCAACACAAGACATATCTAGGCGCTGTGCGCCTCCTCGGGATTTCTGGGGAGGTAGGAGTGTGTGTGTGTGTGTGTGTGTGTGTGTGTGTGTGTGTGTGTGTGTGTGTGTGTGTGTGTGTGTGTGTGTGTGTGTGTGTGTGTGTGTGTGTGTGTGTGTGTGTGTGTGTGTGTGTGTGTGTGTGCTCGCGTGAGGTTCGTTCTCCCATCCTCCCCTTGGGTGGCTTATTTCTTTCTTTCTTTCGCGCGAACTCGCCAGGCTACAAGCCCAAGCGCTTGGCTCGGCGCGGCGACTCTGTTCTGTCCGCCGCTTGCTCCAGGCTACATGCGTGCTCCCGCGAGCACCGCCGACGCGGTTCGCGACGCTTGCCGAGCGACGCTCGAGGACTACGCCTCGGTGGCCGAGGGCTACGCACGCGGCAACCTCAATCACGACGTCTCGCAGAACATCGATGCGCTGCTGCGGCCGCTCGCCGGCCTCCAGGCTCCTCTCGACATCCTCGACGTCTGCTCTGCCTCGGGCCGCGACCTCGTTGCCTTCACCCAGCTCGGGCACCGAGCCGTTGGCCTCGACGGCGTGCCAGCCTTTTGCAGGATGTCGCGCGAGGCCTCCGGCTGCGAGGTGTGGGAGCAGGACCTATGCGCCCTGGACCTCCCTGCCGAGCGGTTCGACGGCATCTTTTGCAACGCCTGCCTCTTCCACTTGCCGCGCGCCGCGCTGCCGGGAGCCCTCGCATCCCTCCGCCACGCGCTCCGCCCGCACGGAGTGCTGTTTGTCTCCAACGCGCACGGCTTTGGCCAGGACAAGGAGGGCTGGACGGACGGTCGCACCGCCACGACGCGCTCGTACGTCTGCTGGCTGTCGGAGGAGACGTGGCTTGCGACCTGCGAGGCGGCCGGCCTGAGTCTCCTCGACAAGTTCTACCGGCCTCCCGGCCGCGCGCGCGCGCACCAGCCCTTCCTGGCCACGGTGTGGCGAAAGGAGGCGGCGCCCCCGACCGCGGCGCACGAGCCGCGCGACGGGCCGCGAGAGCGGCTGCGCCTGCTGGCGCCGGTGGCTGGCGCGAGGAGCATCGACGCCGTCCCGCCGTCCGCCCTCGACGGCGGTCGCGAGCTGACGATGGTCGTCCTCCACGACCGCGCGCAGCGCCGCGTGCTGCTGCGCGTGCCGAACGCGCTCGGCTGGCGGCTCCACTTTGGCTGCGCCGGCAGCACCGGCGAGCGAGGAGACGACGCGAGCGAGGCGCAGCTCTGCGCGGCTGCAAAGGAGGCGGCCTCGGCGGCGCTCGCCGACGCGGGCGTCGCCCTCGCCTCGCCCCGCCTCCGCCTCGCAGGGCTGATGCTCTTCTCCTTCCCGCCCTCCTCCGCGCACGCGCCGATGCGCGTGCGCGTGCTCGAGGCGACGCCCAACCTGGCGGCAGAGCAGCCGGCGGCGGCTTCGCCGTGCAGCGTCGATGCCGTGCCCTACGAGCAGATGTGGGCCGACGACAAGATCTGGATGCCACACCTGCTCGCCCGCGCCGACTCCTACTTCGAGGCGCACTTCGTCTTTGATGGCCCGCCCGGCGCCGCAAGCCGCGTGGTTGACCACAACTGGGACCCGGCCTGTCGCCCTCCCGAAGCAGCTGCGAGCTGACCCGAGCAGAGGCCAGAGCTCCTCCCGACGTCCGCGCCCCACATTTCAAGCGTTTTGAACCAAGATTTAGACGCGTTTTTTTTCACTTTTTTGCATCGTCACGCCCCCCCCCCCCCCCTCTCTCCCACCCTCCCTGTCCGCCTCTGTCCCTCCCAGCTCCCTCCCCCCGCCCCCCTCTCTCTATCTCTCCGAGCACGGACTCTGCGGCTTTCCAATTCTTTTTGCGTTAGTGCCAGTATAAATAAATAAATAAAACGGGCACGCCAAACGAGGGGTGGGAGAGGGACAGGGTCCCCACCTGCACGAGCAGGATCTAGTGCCAGTGCGCGCCATTAGTGTGAGGTTGAGAATTCTTTTCGTGCTTGAGTGGGAAATGCTCTCTCTCTTCCTCGCTTCACCATCCGCGTCGCCATCGCCGGCGCCCGTCAGGATCCGGGTCTGCACCATGGGCGGCGAGGGCATGTGCAGCGTGGGCGCCGGCGACTCCACCCTCGCCGCCCTGCGCTTCCTGGCTCCGCGCGACGGCGTCGTGCTCAATGGGTGCTCGTGCCTCGCGCGGTGCGACCGCGGCGTCGTGCTGCAGCTCACCAATACGGGCGAGTTTGTCGAGCGCGTCAACGACGCCGCCTCTGCAGCCGACGTGCTCCGCCGCGCCGGCGCGGAGGTCGACCCGCGGCTGATCGAGGCGTACGGCACAGGCGAGCGCGGCAGCGAGCACGACGAGGAGGGGCGGCTGACGGAGGCGCTGGACGCGTACGGGCGCGCCGTCCGGCTGGCGCTCGCGGCCGGGCTGGGGCCGCAGTGGCGCAGCCTGCCCTCCTCGGTGCTGCGCGTGCGCGAGCGGCGCGGGCGAGCAGGCGCGCCGACGGCGGAGCAGGCGGCGTGGCTGGTGCAGCTGCTGGTGCGGCGGTCGCGCGTCTACACCGGGCTCAGCGGGCAGGGGTGGGTGCGTTCGCGCCAGCGTGCGCTCGAGGACGCGCAGCAGGCGGCGCCACTCGCCACTGGGCCTCGGCGCGGGCAGCGGCTCTTCACGGCCCGAGGGTGTGAACAGGCGGTGCAGCTGCTGACGCTCCTCGACGCGGTGCTGCCGGACAGCCGCGCGGACGCGGCGGCGGCGCGGCTCTCGGAGGAGTCTCGCGCGCTGGCGTGGGCGAGAGACTCGCCGCGGCTCGCGAGGCGTCGTCCACGACACGTCCACGACCCGTCCGCGACGCCCGTCTCGCAGGAGCGGCTCGCCGAGGCGCACGAGGCGCTGCGCGACATCTCCGGCGCCATCCTCGCGTACGAGCAGCTGCTGCGCATCGAGCCGCCCGACGACCCACGCCTGGCGCCGCCGCTCGCGGTCAAGCGCGGCATCCAGGAACACGCCCATCCCACCCCTGCGGAGGCGACACACCCATGACACACCAATGCCACGGCGTCCGCGACGAGGTCCCGTTCTCCCGACACCGCCCCGCAGGAGCTGGTCCTCATCTCGCACCGGCGCGGGCTCGCCGACGCGGCGGAGGTGCGGGGCGGCCGGCGGGGAGGGGCTTGGGGGGCGGGGCATGTCTCCCGGACATGTCCCGGGCATGTCCCGGGCATGTCCCGGACATGTCCCGGACATGTCCCGGACGGGTGGTCTGGTGTGCGTCGTCTGTAGGTGCGAGAAGGGCTACAGCAGGGCCTGCAGCAGGTGGAGCAGGTCTCGCGGGAGACGCTCACCCGCCGCGCTCTCGAGGACGTGGAGAGCTTGCGCCGTGTCGTCGACGAGGCGCACACGGGCCGCCTCCTGGCGGGCCCGGCGACGAGGAGCCGCGAGTCACCTCCTCGTGGCGAGAGTAGGACATCGGGCTGCTCGAGCGCGCCGCGGCGGAGTACGAGATCGGGACGGGGCGCGGACCTCGCAGCTCCTTTGCGTCGCGGGCGATGCGCGACTTGGGCACATTGCGCAAGGTTGCCTCCTCCGCCATGAGCATGCGCTGCGATGAGTATGGAGCTGCGGGCCGGCTCTCTTCCCAGCGGCCGCTTGTGAACAGGTCGCCTTCTCCGACATCAACACGCTGCAGCTCCAGATCCTGCGCGGCGACCCGACTGTCACCCTGCTGAGGGACGCTCCTCGAGGCGGCTCTGGTCTGCGAGGATGTCATGTTGAAGGGCGGGCGTGTGCTTGCCTAGGACCTCTCCTCGAGGCTGCTCGCGGCGGCGGGAGGAGCCGCCGAGCCGCAGATGAGGACGCGGGAGCGCTACGAGATCTCGTCGTCAGGGCGCGCGCCGCGAGGCCCTCCCCTGAACCTTCTCGGAATTTCCCCTCCACAGGACCTCGAGGAGCTCGCTTCGCTCAGCGCAGGCGACGTCGCGCCGGGTCAGCAGGCGTACTGGCTGCGCGCCCAGTTCGAGACGGGCGCGCTGCCGCGCGACCCGCTCTTTGTGCGCAACCTCGTCGAGCAGGCGCGGAGAGACCCGCGGATCGTCTCGCGGCTGGTGGCAGACATGGCGGCGAACACGGGCGGCGCGCCGCCCGCTGTCGAGCCCGGCCCCGACGGGGCCGACGACCCCGCGGGCCCCGTTTGACTCAGCTCATTCTGTGCGCGATCCATCGCGATGTAGATATCAGGGCCTCGCGCTCCCGCTGTGTGTTTTGGAATTGTCGGCATGTGTGTGTTTCTCGTGGGTATTCTGCTTTTTCTCCTTGAGAGCACGGTACGTTTATCTAGAAAATCAGCTCGCGAGCAGTCTCGTCTGTGCGCGCACTGCGGGGACGTCCGTGCTCGGTGCTCCGTCTCTCTCGGTCTCGCCTGTCGTCTCGCTCGACGTGCAATTTAAAACACTAAACAGTCAAAACCTCAAACTCTCGGGCGTCTGGAGAGACGTCAGACCCGAGTTTTTATTCATCTTTTTACTCGAGTACTCGACAGATTTTTGTGACGGAGTGTAAATAAAGATGGGGCGACGTGTCTCATTCCCGCCGCTGTGCGCTAGTTCCGCTAGTCGCGCCCGAGGCCGCGGGCGCCCGACGGGCCTGTGGCGCAGGAGCCGCGGGCTGCGGGAAGGGCTCCGCGACGACCCTCTCTCCCGTGAGCGTCACGGTGCGTGCCGCGACGGCTCCCGCGCCGTTCTCGAAGGTGACGTTGTACTTGCCGGGCGCGAGCACGAGGTCTCCGTTCAGGTCGCTGAGCTGGAGGTCGCGCGCGCCGAGCGAGAAGGTCACCGTGGCCGACTCGCCGCTGCCGAGGTCGCTCACGCGCTCGAAGCCCCAGAGCGCCTTGATCGGGTGGTTGGGCACGCCGGGCGCGGCGAGCGACAGCGGCGCAAAGTACGCCTGCACCACCTGAGGCGGCGGAGGGTATAGGCGGTGAGGGGAGGCCGCGGCGCTAGCCATGCGCCCGCCCGCACCTCGTCCCCCTCGCGAGGGCCGACGTTCGTGAGCACGACGCTCACGTGCAGCGCGGTGGCCGAGGCGGTGGAGAGGGTCCAGCCGCCGCGCGGCTCCCCGATCGCGAGCTCGAAGGTGGTGTAGGAGAGGCCGTGCCCGAACGGGGTGACGAGCGGGACGCCCCCCCTGTAGTAGCGGTACGTGCGGCCCAGCCCGTGCTGGACGTCGTGGTCGAGCATCGAGTTTGTCTTTGCC